AAGAGGTGTGAGGCAGATAGTATTCAAAATACATCTTGGTATTTATAAAACTATAGTGTACCTTTAAAAAAGGAGCACCATACTTTTAGGCAGCGATAGCAAACTATAGTGAAGGAAAGTACAGAAAGGGGGAGTGTGTAAAGTCATATTTTGTTCACAGATGATTGACAGCTACTCCGTATGCCCAAAGTCGTAAGGTGCTTACACTGTACATTTTGCAAGAATTTCATTATAATGCATATACCACTAATAATTCCGCTGCTTTATGGAAACTTATACAGTTGATTATTTTGTATACTCTGACCGTATTACTTTCACTGTTCTGTTAGGACCTGCGTGTCCACTCTACATATTGCATTTTTTTGCATGTTGAATAATGTTATTTATCCTGCTCAATAAACAGCTTTTAACTATAAAGTCATATTTTGTCTTGGGTCCCCGTGTTAGGATCACAAGGGCTATCCCTACTGATACTTTGAAATCTCTTCCTGGAAAAAAGAGTTGAGTAGCTGATTGTATATGTTGACAGAACAAGGATACATAGACATACATCTAGTCAGTTTGACATTAGATTAAACGTTGGAACCTAATGAGCATGTGCGGTGAGTGCCACGCATGCTCTGGTGGCTGTCTGGTAGATTATTACCTGCTTTTTCAGCCTGCAGCATAAGCTAAAGCTTTTGAATGAAACAATTGTCTTAAAGAGATGCATGCCCCTTCATTTAATCTAAATTCAAAGATTGGATAGTTTAGCCTGAATGTTCATATTCCTATTTTAGATCACTACAATGAATAAACACTAAAATATGTAGTGCAATCACTTTTCAAGAATACATTTACTTGCAATTTGATTGCGCAATACACAGGTGAAATATTATTCTCTGTAAAGCATCACCTTGCTCTAAACACATTATCTCATTAACAACTTATGTATAAACTGTCTGTGTCTGGGTGACATTAGTGATGTTCCAACAGCCACACATATCCACAAACATCTACAGTGTAGTCACACTGTCTCTATCTTTTCTTTTAAGCACAGACTATGTCACATTTTAGACCAAAATGGTTATATCAAAAAATATTCTTCTCATTTGCTATTTTTTACCTCCCCTATTTTTGACATACAGTTTGAATTCCTGTGTCACTTCTCCAAATATCCACATTTGGTGAATCTTCAACATTAAAGCGACACGTCACTGCCCAAATGACCCCCCAAATTAAAACCACTGTTTAGTAGATATACTCCAATGAAAACATGCATGCATTTAATTATGCATATTTTTTTTCGTTGGGGTATATCTAAATATAGCTTGCAAAAGCTGCAAATCTCTTCCTTGTTTTAAATATGTTTATTGTCAGCAATATAAACACGGGTATTGAACTTGGTATCATTCATGCATATAGTTGCCTACGCAGAGGCGTGCACATTGAAAGTGTATATAATGTGAGGCCGACATATTCCAGTTAATTCAGAGTAACACATAGTTGCCTGCGCAGAGGCGTATAAGTCAAAATAAACATGCAATGACAAATATTAGACATTTATAGGTCTTGCAGGGCTAGACATGCAAAAGGTGGTGAGCTTGCTTGGTATTGCGTTGTTAGGGCGTTGTTGTCAGGTATGTAGTGGTTATTTGGGGTGGCAGTTGGTATCATGTGTTCAGCTATCGGCTCATTAAATGGTGTTAGTGTGGTTCGTTAATAATACACTGTTTTCTTCTGAGATGCCAGTGTTTGCGTATTTATCCCTGTTGCGGTAAACTGCAGTGAAGGCCCATCTTGCGAACATGTGTTGGTGTTTACGCGTTCTGGTCTTTTGTCTGTATCCCTGAGTTCTAGTGTGTCTCGTGGCTACCTGCTCGTGCATATTGGGGTTGTATTTGTTTTGTATGTTTCGTGTCCTTTCCCTCTTCTGGTGATGGTGAAACCTTGTGCGGTAAGTCTGTGTCACCTCTATTGCGTGTTTCCATGGTTATGTCTATGTAGTGTTGCTTTATTCTGGAGCTCTGTGTGTCTGCCTCTATTGTTGCGTCTTTGTGGTTCCGGTTTGTGTGTCTGAGTCACTGTCTGTGTGTCTTGGTGTCGTCGCGTTGAGGTGGGTTCACCTGTGTGCGTGGAAGTGGTGTTGTTCTGTGGGTTTTGGGGTAGATCAAAAAGGTCTGTGTTTGGGCTGTGGATGTGTGTGGCGCTCAGATCGTGTGGTTTCGCAACTCTCGTCTGGTGTTATCTGACTGCAGTGGCCGTTTGTTCTATGTCTTGACCGTCCGTGTGTTTGTAGTGGGTCTTGGTTCAGGTTGCGTAGTTTAAAGTCTTGGCACGCTGCCGCTCGTATGTGTTGTGTGTTTACTTGTGTGTGTCCCCGACTGACCTGCTCATTGTCCCGCCTCCTGTTGTCCTTTGGGTGTGCGACTATATGTGTCGGCAAGTTGTGTGTCGTGTATGTGCATGTGGGTGTTGTGGGTTGGTGATGGTGGGTGATTCCGACCCCTGTCGCCGTCTCGGTTCATCGGTCCCCAGCTTTTCATATTAGTGCCGTATTTATTTTGGCTTAAACTCTCCTCCTTCGTCTACTGCGTCGCCATGCGGTTACGAAAAGCGTCAGTGGTGGTTAGTCTAAGCCAGTGAAACCAGCGTTTGGTGTAACGATCTCTAAGGTTCGGGGTGGTTGCCTTCACGTCTTCGAATTTCCTAGTTGCTTCCACCTCTTCCATCCATCTTGCGATGGAGGGTGTGGTGGCCTGTTTCCAGTATATTGGGACCGTTGCTTTAGCTGCGTTTAATAGTCGTGGGATGACAGATTTACTGTATGTCGGTATAGACATCTCCGTGTGGTGTAGGAGGAACGTTGCTGGGGAACTCGGGAGCATTTCGTCCGTTACTTCATGTATTACCTCTCTGATCGTGTTCCAGAATGGTCGGAGTCGGGAGCACGTCCACCAGGTGTGTATGAATGTTCCTCTCTCTTTTCCACATCTCCAACAGGTGTCTGTGGCTTCCGGATTCCTGGCGTGGATCGCCGTCGGTGTCAGGTACCACCTGGTGTATATTTTGTATGAGTTTTCTTGCAGCCTCGCCGAGCTAGGTGTGTTTTGTATCAGGGTGATGTTTTTGTCCCAGGCTGCTTCTGTCATGGATTCTTCCAGGTCTTCCTCACAGTTTCTCATGCAAGGGGGTGCCAGTATATATCTTCCTGTAACCAGCATTGCGTATATCTGTGAAATGGCACGTGGGGTTTCGGTTTCTTGCGTACAGAGTAGTTCGAATTGTGTGGGGTCTCTCAGTAGTGATGTTTTTTGCGGGATAGACCGAGCATACCCTACTATTTGTGCTCTCGCCAGTGTGTGTGCAAAGGTGAGCGTTCGATCAAGAAAGAGGTCTGTGACGCCGCGGACTTCAAATGGGCGTTGGAGGACATCCATCATGCGAGGAGTCGTTGTGCGTCCCCTCGGGCCTGGCATGGGGCCGTGGTCTCCTGCTGGGAAGTCTGGGTTTCCTCTCAACGGCAGTAGCGGGCCTGGATCCGTCGTGAGGTATTGCTTCGTGCCTTCCCTGTGCCATACCTTCATGGTCGCCGCCACGAATGGGTTGGTGATATGTTTATGTTTGTAAGCGGCTCTGGGTATCCACGGTAGCGTGCGAAGGTCGCAGTCCGTGATGTCGGATTCTAGCTGGGTCCATGGTTTCGTTCCGCTGGCAACCGACCAGCTGACTATTCTGGTGAGGTGCGCTGCCTGGTAGTACTTTTCAAAATCAGGGAGCGCCAGGCCTCCTCGGAGTTTAGGCAGGGTTAGTTGAGCGTGTGCTATGCGTGGGGATTTGCCCTTCCATACGAACTTGCGGACCTCCGCCCGTATCGTCTTAAAGAAGGCTTGCGGGGCTAGTATCGGCACCGTTTGGAACACGAAGAGAAGTTTCGGTAGTAGCGTCATCTTTACGGCGTTTACTCTTCCTAGCCATGATGCGTAGAGGGAGCTCCATTTATTTAGTTCCTCCGTTGCTTTTTTAAGTATAGGGAGATAGTTGTGGATGTATAGGTCTCCCGGGGTGGGAGTGAGCCCCTAGGTACCGCATACGGAGGTCGCACCAGCGGTACGGGTGCAGTCTTTGAAGTGTCCGTTTGTGGGCTTGATCTATGGTGAGGTTGAGGATCTCCGACTTAGCGTAATTTATCTGGAGGTTGGAGATCAGCCCATATTCTTTAAATTCTGCCTGTATTTGCTGTAAGGTGGTCTCTGGACGTGTGACCACGAACAGCAGGTCGTCCGCATATGCTAGCGTTTTGTGTTGTACCTGTCCAACTGTGAGGCCCTGTATGTTTACGTTCTGTCTGATCCTCCGCAGAAACGGCTCCAGCGTCAACGCAAAGATTAGGGGAGAAAGTGGGCACCCCTGTCTGGTTCCATTGTATATCTGGAACGGGTCCGTCAGTGCCCCGTTTATCCGGATTCGTGCCGTCGGGTTGGTGTAGAGGGCCCGTACCCATGTAAGGTAGTGAGGTCCCATCCCGTAGGCTTGGAGGGTCTCGAACATCATATCCCAGTCCACCCTGTCGAACGCCTTTTCTGCGTCTGTGGACAGGAGGAGGGTCTGTGTCCCGAGTGTTCTAGCGTGTGTGATGATGTTCAGGGCTCTGATGGTGTTGTCACGCACCTCTCTGCCCGGGATAAACCCTGTTTGGTCCGGGTGGATTAAGCCTGGCAGTAGCGGCGCTAGTCTCGCTGCCAGGATGCTTGCCAGAAGTTTGATGTCTGTATTGAGTACCGAAATCGGGCGGTAGTTTGGGCACAATGTCGGGTCTTTGCCCTCCCTTGGTAGCAGGGTAATGTTTGCTGAGGTGAACTGGGCCGTAGGTGCAGCTCCGTCCTGTATGGAGTTCAGGGCTTTAAGTAGTTTCGGCTGAAGCTCTTGCGTGAAGACCTTGCAGTATTGGAGGGGCAGTCCATCTGGCCCCGGTGCCTTCCCCGTTTTAGCTTTCTTGATGGCGTATGCCAACTCTTCGGGTGTTATAGGCGCTTCTAGTGCGTCTTTCTCTGCTTCCGTTATATCTGGCATGTTTGCTGAGTTCAGGTACTGGCGTATGTCTGCCGTTTTCTGATGTCTCTGGTCGTCCTGTGCTTCCTTGCGGAGGTGGTAAAGGTCCTGGTAGTATCGTTGGAACTCCGTTGCTATTTGTTCTGGGAGGTGTCTGATTTGCTGCTGTGCGTTTTTTATTTTCGGTATATACAGTTGTGTCTTACGTTGCCTCAGGAGATTCGCCAGCAGTCTCCCGCACTTGTCTCCGTGTTCATGTATCATGTGTCTGTAGTGTTCGTACACGCGTTGGATCCTCCTGTTAAGGTGCGCTGTGAGCTGGTTGCGTTTATCTGTTAGCTCTCTGTATATTGTTGTTTCTAAGGTTCTTTTATGTCTGGCTTCCAGGGTCGCAATTTCGCTGCTCAGCCTGGTTATTTCCCGTACCGCCGTCTTTTTGCGATTCGCGCATATTGCTATAATCTGGCCTCTTGCTACCGTCTTGTGTGCTTCCCAGCATGTCATTGGTGTCACGTCCTCCGTTTCATTATCTTGGAAGTAGTCTCGTATGGTTTGGCCTATTTTATCAGCCACTGTCACATCCGATAGAATTGATTCGTTCAGTCTCCAGGACATCTGTCTGGGTTTAAATAACGGTGATGCCATCCGTATACGGATCGGGCAGTGGTCCGACCACGTCATCGGCAGTATGTCTGCTGCCTTGAGTAGGGCCAAGTCGTGGTGTGCTAGTAAGAAGTAGTCTAGCCTCGTGTATGTTGCATGGGTCTGTGAGTAAAACGTGTAGTCCCGCGTTGTTGGGTTCAGCGCTCTCCAGCAATCCGCCAATTGGTGTTGGTGCAGTAGACGGAGTGTGTTCGCGTGTCGCTTATGCGGGGTTCTGCCGAGTGTCGATGTGGAGTCTTGGTCTGGGTGCAGGGTCAGGTTCAGATCTCCCCCCACGATCAGAGTGCCTTCTGCGAACTTCATCAGGGTGTTCAGTGCGTTCCGAAGGAAAGGGAACTGTTTCGTGTTCGGGGCGTATATATTGGCGAACGTGTAGGTTTGTTCGAGGATCGTGCCTTTAGTGAAGATATACCTGCCCTGTTTGCATCTTACTGTGGCTTGTTCCGTGTATGGGGTTCTGCTGGAGAATATGATACCTACTCCCAGCGTGCGTCTGTCCGGGTTGTTGCTAAAATATCCCGTTCTAAAATTGCGGTCTCGCAGTGCCGGTGCTCTGCCTTCTTGAAAGTGCGTTTCTTGGAGAAACGCTATTGACGCCCTATAGTGTTTCAGATCCCGCAGAAGTCTTGTGCGTTTTTCTCTGACGTTTAAGCCATGTACATTATATGAGAGAATGGTTAGGTCTTCCCTGGTGTAACCGCCAGGGCCTGGGTCTGGCATCCTCCGGACAGCCACAGGGGTGAGTGAGTCTGTTGCGTGGTTCGGTTGGGGAGTGTGTGAGTGTGTGGTGGTGTATTGTTGAGTGTGTAGTCGGTGTTGCGTCTATTCACGACGCCTATATGGCCTCTGTATTACTGTAGGGTAATGGACAATCGTCCCGGGTATTCGACCGCGTAACCCGGCCTGCGAGAGGGGGCTGGGTCTATTCCGGGAGTAGTGTATCCCCTGATAAGTGGGGATCCCTATGTCCTATGCCTGTGGGGGAATCGGGCTTACCGTCTGCGACGGCGCAGTCCGCTTCTGGGTTCCTAGAAGGTCTACGTGTATGTATTAGTACTGTACGCAGTCCTTAGTCTGTCTCCCGGGTGGCTATTTACTCGGAGCGCCCGCTCCGTTTCTTAGTTTGTGTCGATTATGGGTTCGTTTATGAGTGTGTGTCTCGTCTGTTTGCATCTGAGCTGTTACTGTTTGTCCGTCATCTGCTCACGTGTGTGTTTTGGATTGTTTGGAGCCCGCTTGGAATGGGTCTAGCTATTTCGCGAGGTGGGGACGCTGTGGTATGGGGTGCCTCGTGGGTCGAATCAGGCCTGTGGGGTTCCTTTGTTCGGGTTTGTCCTTTGTTTTGGGTGGAGCTTTGAGTCTCTGGTCTAAGGTTTGTCTGCTGTCCCTGCACTGTCTAGGGGCGTTGGTAATGTCTGGGGGAGGGCACCTCCGTCTTCCAGTCGCCTGAAGTAACTATTTCGTCGTCATTTGTTAGCCTTGGACTGGTCTTAAGCTCTGAGTGGCTCTGGATCCGCCTGGAGGCAGGTTCGAGCCAATTTGTATGGGTTTCATGCATGCGCCTAACGTTGCGCGTTGAGCCGTACGCACCGTGTAAAGGGCGTATCTCTTTTTTTTTTTTTCAAATATTTATAAATATTATAGCCATGTCTCCCCCTCCCTCCCCTAACCTTTTAATACGGTCCCCTCTCTCCTTCTTTTAGTATTCCCACCCTGTATTATCCCGTTTTCCATTGTTTATCCTTGCTCCCACTTTTTTTTTTTGTTTTTTTTGTTTCGTGCGCTTCCATCTTACCCTCATCGATCAGGGGCCCCTTAACTCCCCTCCAACTACTCTACCCTCCCACTTCTCTCCCTGCCCCCTACTCCCCCTTCCCCCTGCCAAGTTCCCTTTTGCGCTGTGGGTTTGCACGGCCCTGGAGGCCTTCGGAGTTGCGCCTCTACTGGCGGTGCAGCGTGGTTGCATTGTCCTTGTGTCCGTTTGTGTCCTGCATTCCCCATGTGGTCGTTCTCATCATATCCCCTTCCCTTGTTCCCCGCCCCAAATGTCCTGGTGCCCTCCCGATTGAGTTTGCGGTAAGGGGCATGACTCTGGTCATGCCTTGCGTGTTCCCCCCCGACATATTATAGTTGAGGTATAGTGTCTTTGTGACCCTTTATCCCCCTGTTCCCTCCCCAATTTCTGCGTGCTTGTGTGGTTCCCGTACGGTGTCCCCTGTGATGGTACTCACGATTTAGCTAGTTCTCATCAATGGAGTCCCCATGTCCTTGCCTTGGCTGTGCGGTGCTGTGTTCTGTTACTGCTCCCTCTGCGCTTGGCCCTGGTGCCATTCGCGTTGGTGCTGGGGTCGGGGCCTTTGCTGGTCCGCGATGGGTCCGCGCGGTTGTCGTTGTTGCGGGCCCGGTGGTTGTTGGAGGAACGATCTTGCCAGCCAGTCTGGCACCTGTTGCAGCGGGAGGCCTAGGGCATGTAAAAAGCTTTGGACATCATCTGGCTTCCGGATTGTTAGTTGGTCTTGTCCGTGTCTGGCTGTGAGGGAGAACGGGTATCCCCAGCGGTACGGTATGTTGGCTTGTTGCAGCGCTGACGTCACCGGTCGCAGGGCCTTCCTGGCCATCAGGGTGTAGCGTGAAAGGTCTTGGTAGATAGATACGGTCTGACCTTCCATTCGGATCGTCCCCATGCGTCTGGCTGTGCGTAGTATTTCTTCTTTTTGGTGGTAATTTTCCAGGCAGCATATTATGTCTCTTGGTTGTTCCTCACGTGTTGGTATGGGTCTCAGCGCTCTGTGTGCACGGATTAGGCCTATTCTGGGTGCATGTTGGCCTCCCAGTACTTGGGCAAAGATCAGCCGCAGTATTTCCGGTACATTTTCTGAGTGGCCTCCTTCCCGCACTCCGCGGACGCGCAGGTTCATCCTGCGGCCGCGGTTGTCCAGATCGTCAACCCATGTGGTGAGGAAGGCTAGGTCAGCGTCTTGTTTCGTGACCGTCACATTCGTGAGTTCCAGATCTGTCCTGAGCGCCCTTGTTTCCGTCTCTGCTACTGCCATGCGGGCCTCTACATTTGCCACATCTGCACGCAGCTGGGCCACCTCTTCACGGACCACCCGGCCTAATCTGTCAGAAAGGGGTTCAAAATCAGCCTTTGTAAGTAAGTTTGGCAAGATGTCTCTCCACTCACCCCCTTGTGGTTGCTGTGTATCCAGGGTAGGCAATGGGGCCGGGGAGAATACTGCCGGCGTGGATGGGAAGGATTCAGGCTGCAGGCTTGCGGCCTCCATTTCCCTCCGCGGGGACTGATCGCGGCCGGCGGCATGGAGGAAAGCACGGATCGATTGATCCCCTCCGTGTCCCGCGGGTCTTGGGGTGCCGCCGGGGTCTGCCAGCCTCCTTGTGCGACCCATATGGTGTGTGCAGGTGAGCTGGGCTGGTGGTGATGCGGGGTTGATTGCGGGTGCCACGGGGAGCTACAGAATTAGGCGGCCATCTCCGTCGGCTGCCGGACACGCCCCCCCGGGGTTGATTGCGGGTGCCACGGGGAGCTACAGAATTAGGCGGCCATCTCCGTCGGCTGCCGGACACGCCCCCCCAAATCTCTTCCTTGTAACCTTTGCAAGCCCCCTTCTAACCCAGCCCAGACTTACTGTGGCTGCCTCATCACAGACTTCACAATGCAGCTCAGTAAGAAGACTTTACAACACAGGTGCTCTGATCAATTGTCTGCCTCTTGAGTTTAGCTCCACAGAGCTAAGCAAACTGGGGAGTAACCGCAACGGTTGTCTGATTGATAGTTAGAGGAGTGTAACAAGGTCAATTTCTAAAATTGCTGATTTCTGTTGAAATCTGCACTTTTTGTAACATATAAAAAAAGGACATGCTCTTCACACATGAAGCATATCAAAGCTTTAGAGGCCTGGAGTTTCCCTTTAACAGATTATCTCATAATTACTATGAAATCTGCACGTGTATTTATTTGCTCTGCAAAAGTTGAGACCTGAGCTGCATAGCAGAGGTAGCACCCAAAAGAGAGACACAGATTGGCAGGAAAAATACATAACATGGAAAGCAAATTGAAATGAGATTGCACAGGATGAACAGTAACATGGGAAAGAAAGGAATGTGGGATACAGCTACATTACAGGATGTAATACAAACGGCAACATTTCATGGATTCACTGGGAGATGTGATGGCATTGGTCCTTAACCAAGGTTCCAGACCCAAATTGGGACAGAAGCAATATACCACTAGATCACCTTCACTCTCCCCTACGTACTTTCTTGCTGCACAATTTTCCATTTGCAGCTCGCTCTTCGTATGATCTACTAGCCTTCACCCGTGGCCTTGTGGCTGATAAAGATACATCTGGATTAACATCTTTGGAAAGTGTCACAACAGTAGTCTGAACTCTAGCATTTGGTTGACTAGTGGTAATGGGAAGGGAGGTGGTGGTGTTAATATTAATCTCACTGGGTGATCTACTTCTGGTAATGGTAGGAGATGATGCTCCAACTGTTTGCATTAAATGAGGCAATTCTTTTGCAGAAAGAGATGTACTTATACAAAGTGGAGATTGCACAGCAGATGCAGAAAATAGTAGAATGCTGTCTATGCTCTCCAGACGTTCCACTTGTAATTCCTCTGTATCATAGTCAATTTTCTCCTGGGACAGATTTAAACAAATTCTTACATCTCAGGAGGAACTGTTCTGAGTTAACAGAATACAGAGAACAAATGACTTGTCCAAAAGAAAAAATTCTAGATACAAATGATAAACCTTAAATGAGAGATGACGCCATTGTGCATGCTGAGAACCAATCTTCTGTTATATAAAAGTAAAAAAAAATACTAATACCCTGTCTCTCCCAATAATTATAGATTTTAACAACAGAAATAAGAACTTAAAGAAAATAGTTAACAATCACTCGTATGTGTTAAAACAAGAAGAATTATTAAAATATATCATTCCCAACAAACTGCAAATTATATTCAGAGGAGCTCCCAATTTAAAGACAAGTAAACCCTTTACAATTACAGATTTTATCACATGCAATTCCAGGAAAATTACCTTTACGTGGATGTCTTTGAGTGGATTAGAGTGGGCCAAGCTTTAAAAACTACATGCTCAATTATTTTTTATTTAAATGATAATGTTCACTTTATTCACTATAAATAATATTAAGCT